AATACTTACGCGATAGAAAAAAAAAGAATATTATTTTCAAAATCTGCGTAGCTGAGTTATAGAAAATCCGTTATTAAAGCCAAAACAACTTTTATGAATTTTATCTTCGCAGGCCTGTGCTATTATTAGTGTCTTCTGAAAATAAGGATATTCAACACAAAAAGCAAATATTAATCAATTATTATTATGATCTTTAGAATATAAAAACACTAAACACATACAACCGTTTATTGTTAGTATATTCTGAACTTGAGAACACTACACGTATACAAACGAGCACTATTAGTACCTTCTGAACACAAAACACTTTACTTACATATGACCAATTATTTTTAGTATTTTTGAACACATGAACATTGCACACATACATACACATTCAATTATTGTAAATGCCTTCTGATCATACGAAAGCTAACAATGTAATTATAACTAAAATACTTTACAATAAAATATGCAATAGTGATGACATTTCTGTAAAATAGTTTAACCAGGTATAACACGTTTAGTCATCAGAAAGGTTTAATAAGACTATCTGATCAATGTTTAGTTTTAATCAAGTCAGTCAAATATTTCTCTCACTGACATAAGTTGATAATCACTTCTATACAACTAGGCATACTAACATTTGAAAGGTCACGTGCATGTTAATGTAAAACAAGGTTTTTTTACAATTACCTGTAATGTCAAACATGAAATTATCGTACTTGAAATGCCGTACAATAACGACATACACTATCCAGGTACATAATTAAAACACTAAAAACAGAAATTCCTTTTGGATTAATATGCATTAAATATAGTCCTATACGTATTAAGAATTTTTAAGACTCGCAGAAATGTTAGTAGCAAAATGTTATTTCACTTTTTCTCCCTGTTATTAAGAACTAGATACTTGTATAATATCTACGTATATAGTTTTGAATTTGATAATTACAGCAACGTAGGATGATAACCTTCTGTTTATCATGTTTTAATAACAAAACTAAAGTTTGAAAAATCCTCAAACAGGTTTCCTACTTGTAAGGCACATGTTTCTGTCCATTAAGAAGTGCAATTATAACGTTTCCTAAAGCTGACAAGGAGAGATTATGTCCCCCAGCTCCATCTCGTGGCTTGACTAGTTTTTCACAAGAACCAAGATCAATCAGGTTTAGACGACTCCGGCCTCCAGCTACTATAAAATTCATTAATATGTATGAAATGTTATTTCATTAAATATATAATGTGGGAAATAGTTCTAACAACGAAGTGTATTTTTACATACTGTTACAGAAAAATAATGCACTTACCCAACTTCCAATATATATTGTATCACATGTGATTCTAAACATAAAAAAGTTATTTTACAAAGCATATTCACAGTAGTTTTAAAAAGTTAGAACTGTTGGCATTTCTCACTCTTTATTATATATATAATGAACAATAACACTTTATTTAAACATTAGATACTAGCATCTAATTTGAATTAACTTTAAATAACAATCGCAACAATATAGATTTTCTTACGATGATTCACAACAATTACATAGCTGGACGTAACCGTTGTCTATGGGTATATTGGCCGAGAACAACCAATTATAATAACCTTGGACAGTTGGAACAATTTCTTCCACTTGTAATGATTCACAACAATTACATAGCTGGACGTAACCGTTGTCTATGGGTATATTGGCCGAGAACAACCAATTATAATAACCTTGGACAGTTGGAACAATTTCTTCCACTTATAATGATTCACACCATTCATATATAATTCCAACAGTTGTCTGTCTTTTTATGCTTTAATTTTTTGCTTGGACGAGGTGGAATTCAGTTGGGCAATTATCCCTTTGTCGATAAGTAAATTATGAACATCAAGAATCTAACTAGTTACAAAAGGCTTAGTTTGAGCTTGTTTAAATCCGCTTAGGAAAAAATTAAACACAAAAATCATTATAAACCTCAAGTTTTTCTTTTATATAACTTGCATACGTTACAGATTAATCCTCAGTTTAAACTATCAACAGACCACAAACACAGTCACAGTTTATTCACACCATTTCATCATCGCAACAAACGGATCACTGTTTTATCTCACTGAGCGTATCACGAACCATAAATCTGAAAGCTAATGTAATCTGTAAGTTCTTACCTCCGCTCCGGTTTCCTTTTTCAAAACGATACTGATAAACGTGAAGCGTAAATAAAAAATGTGAATTACGATTCTCTTCTTCCTTTTCTGAAACAAAAAAACACACAGAACAGAAATTTCAAGACTGGTTATAATAGATAACAAGTGTACCTAACTTTCGCGCCTTTTTTTCCCTCCTTTCTTCTAATATAGAACAAAGTGAGAGCAAGATCAGTCTGAATGGAAGATAAACATGTAATACGAAGGGTAATATACAGAACAAAAACAGTGCATGTAATCACAAAAACATATTGTGAAAGAAGGGTTGCTGATAAGAGAAGAAAATTCGAATCAGTTTTTGCGCGCATAAAATGATGAGAGTTATCTATGGTTGTTGTTTTTTTTTCAATTTTACACAAGTAGTAAAAAAATGTGTCTTCATAAGTTGTATAAAATGTATTAAGGCAGCGTTGATCCACTTGGAATAGAACTTTCAATAATGGCCTCAGCTTAACAACCCGAACAATGGACATTACTATCTATAAAGTTAGAAAACAATTGAGTTAATTAAACATGCTTAAGGTTTGAAATTAACTGGTTATGGCCACACAGGCTCAAAATTAATTAATTCATGGTTGCAGAATTTTGTACCAGTCTATTTTTGATTCATGATAATTTGCACAGCACTTAACAGATCACAGTGAAATTTCTCATTTTGGCAATTCACGTTAAATCATTTCAGGAGGGAACTGCTATTTCCTGTCAATATTCTCGTTGTATAATTCGTAACTAACTCTAATATTCTCGCATGTATTCTAATTGATTATTTTGTCTAATAATTACTAGCACTGAATAAATGCATTTTAAAAGCGTAGATATAGTTAAGAGTTTGTTTTTGAATTTCGCGCAAAGCTACACGAGGGCTATCTGCGCTAACCGTCCCTAATTTAGCAGTGTAAGACTATAGGGAAGGCAGCTAGTCATCACCACCCACCGCCAACTCTTGGGCTACTCTTTTACCAACGAATAGTGGGATTGACTCCACGGTTGAAAGGGCGAGCATGTTTGGTGAGACGGGGATTCGATCCTGCGACCCGCAGATTGCGAGTCGAGCGCCCTAACCACCTGGCCATGTCGGGCCATAGTTAAGAGATGCAACGATATGAGTAGTGCTTCATCAGGTTAGTTACGGTTTAAACGTCTGCAGATGTTTTTTTTCAATACATTCCTCTTGATTTGTTCATTACAAATTCAAAATCAGAAGTGTGTAAAAACAGCGTTACAGATATGAGTAGTGCTTCATCAGGTTAGTTACGGTTTAAACGTCTGCAGATGTTTTTTTTCTATACATTCCTCTTGATTTGTCATTACAAATTCAAAATCAGAAGTGTGTAAAAACAGCGTTACAGATCAATCTTTTGTCTCCCACAAGTCACTACCCAAGAAGCCTAAGTACTCGTGAAATTGGACTAGAACAACTCATATCCGCTAAACATTTTACAAGCTCTTGAAACGACTAAAGTAAGTAAATTAAACTGTAAACAATTGTATTTATCTATTTCTGTAAAATTCAAGTAGCGAACAACTACCTGCAATTCAGTTCTAAGGTGAGCACTTTAGAATTTGTTTACAATTTATTCAACTAATGCTTTCATTTTTCATGTTTAGTATACACAGCTTACCAGTAAACAAAAAGACACCCACCAAGAATGTATATTGACTATCTCCACAACGACATATGTAAATAGCCCCTGACATATACATACGGATATACTCGATAAAGACCACTAAATATAATAATCATGCCACAAACGAAAGGATCCTGGGAATTAACCGTATTTTCGCGAGGTTGCATAGTTTGGCGATGAGAGGACGGTCCAAGTCAGCGAGAAATCGCTAGTCACTTGCATTACAGTGAGTAGTCATAATATAGTTACAGTCACATCAGAAAACAATAATTTCTGAACGGCACGTGCGTCTAAAACTAACAAAACGGGCTCTTCATGCTGTGAAGAAAAGTTTGAAGAATGGCCCACGTCAAACGGCCACTACTGGTGTAGAACAGATGCTCCAGAGCAGTCTCTCTTAACAAGGGCGGCAATATTTAAAGTAACAAGACGGAAGTCAATCCTAATTTCAGGCAATATGTTACGTTGACAGCAATGTGCATTACATATGGCATCACACCATCCTGCCTCTTGGAGAACTGTATTTTCTTTTCCTAACGGCTCTATTTTGGCACAATTCTTGGACAGTTGGAACACCTAGATTTGACAACTACTCTCCCAGTAACTTTTGTCGAATCGTTTGGAGCCCATTACAGTGTGGGTAGCTAGACAACCGCAGCTGGTGGTGTTCGAAGGGATAGTAATTTCTATCGCTCGTATCACAATCAATACTTGAGCAAGACCTTCAACCTGATTACGTTAATAATCCAATGATCATCATATCAAACAGGATGGGACTCCAGCCTATTCAGCCTGAGTCACATAACGATAAATTGAAGGTCACGGCATTACCACTTTACACTAGGTCCAGATTTCAGATCTTTGTGAACACGGTGTATAACCATGCTTTTGTCTTAAATATCGAACAGAACAGTTTCACTAAATACTAGTGATAATTTTGTATCCCTCTTTTAATGTTTATTTAATAAAACAGCATTTTTTCTGAAATGGTTGTTTATTTACTTAGTGGTAGCCTGATTGAGTTTTGTTCCTAACGGTATATATATATAAAAAAACAAACTATGTGGTCACTTTACCTACTGAGCTTTGTTTATATGACTATAAGGATAAATTTTACCCATAGGGTTATAAGAATGAATTTTGGTTCTAAGAATTTAAAAAGTAAGCTTTGCTCGTAGGATTAAAAAGTTTGAAAATATATTTTAGGGTTATAATAAGAAAATTTGTTCCTATGGTTATAAATGTAAACTTTGTCTCTAGAGTTATAAGGATTGACAGAGTTATCAAATGAATTTCTCCTCTTGCGTTATAAGTACCAACTTTGCCTCAAGGATTATTAATGTGAACATTGTATTTAGTGTTATAAGGTTGAAATTGGTTTATACGGTTATAAATGTGAACTTTATTTATAGGGTTATACTATATTAATTGACATTGTGTGTATTTGTTTACTTGCACGCGTATTCTTCCCGCAGTTTTGGAGCTAGTAGGAACAAACTTATCAGACGGACTCAGGGTAGCCTGGGGTTGTCCTTACTTATAATGCGTAGGCCCCTGCCAAAGGTGACTAAAATTAGCGTGGAAGACCAACCAGTCATGATGATAGCTAGAAATAGGTTTTAAGAGTTGCTGAAGTGAAATCTATCATCATATTTGTGTTTCTTCCCACCTCTGGTTACCAGGGGTTTCATGTTTGAAATTGTGTTTATACCCCGACTCAAAAGTTAGCAACACCAAATGTGGTGCATGTGCTCAGGTACCAGGGGCAAGTGTCCTCATGGGATTTTTTTTTTCAGATACATCCCCTTCCCCTGAATTAGCTATAGAAATGATTAGGGATAATGAAGGAGCTTGATCGGTACGCTGGAACCTCTGTGAATCATGATGGGACTGCTAGTAAGAGTAATCAAAGTTGTAAGTATGAGCTTCGCCCCACAGATTATTAGTGTGAACTTTGTGACTTAAGGGTGTTAATGCAAGCTTTGTCCTTGGTATCATTATTAGCACATAAATGGTAGTATTTACCCTTAGACGTTATTTTGTTATGGCTATAAAAGTAACTAAAATTAATATAAGACGTTTTAGTTGTGTAATACGATTGCAATTAGGGAGAGTATCATTAAGAAGTTTAATAAGCCAGTAAATATCATAAGACACCTACCAAACTTAGATCTGGCAGCAAGCGCTGCGTCAAGAAGAAAAGCAGCTTTCTCCGCTGTAGGAGCACGAATTTCACTTTGGTTCATCAAGTGTGTTCCGTATACAGGGTCATCCTGTAGTAGCAAGCCAGGAGAAGAACCCGCTATATCAGTGCCTAAGTAACAGGAACGGCTTGTATATAAAAATGATCAACCAACTGTTTTCTCCAGATTATTTAATCAATTAACCATGAACTATGTTACTTTTTTCTGAAATTTTATACATTTCTGTAATCTACAAGTTCTAACCAGGAAAATCAAATATAATAATTATAAGTACTTGATGCAATCAACGATGTGAGATGTAAACGTAATGATAATAAATATTATAAATACATGATGCAATCAAAGATGTAAGAGGTAAACGTAATGGTAATAAATATAATGATTATAAGTACTTGATGCAATCAACGATGTAAGAGGTAAACGTAATGATAATAAATATAATAATTATAAGTATTTGATGCAATCAAAGATGTAAGAGGTAAATGTAATGATAATAAATATAATAATTATAAGTACTTGATGCAATCAATGATGTGAATAGTAAACGTAATCGTAATAAATGAGCAATGATTATGGAACATTTAACGAATGCTAAATTTAAAAATGAACAACAGAACCTCTGCTATAATGGTAAAATTACTAAGTTAAAGCTTCTGTAGAGAAAGGTTAGGGTGTTTAAGTTAGATTTAGGTATAGAAACTATAGGGTATTTAAGTTAGATTTAGGTATAGAAACTATAGGGTATTTAAGTTAGGTAATGGTATATAAACTTAGGTTTCCGTAGTTAGGTAATGGTATATAAACTTAGGTTTCCGTAGAGAAACGCTGGGGTAATCTAGCTTTGGTTACATTCGGCGTTGTTCAAGCATTGTCCAACAAACTGAGTTAACGTTTACTGTTTTCCCTAATAATTGTTTGATATATATATATATCCTTTCAGCGAATAAAATTCATGATTCATTTTACTGTGCACGAAACATTTTATTGTGCCTCTTGCTAGAGGCGTTTTGAAAATTACGTGTTTTTTATTCACAACTGATATAAAACATTTCCTCTACTTCGTAGCTGATGGAAAAAAATCAAATATGTTTTCATGATCATTGTCAGTACACAAAGTACATTTCAAGAAAGTTAGGTTAGTGATACCTGGATGTCCATCAAAAAGGGTCATTAGTTTTGTTTCAGATTTGAGAATTTTCTCACAAGCTAGCCAACATCACCCGCCACCAATTCTTAGGCTACTCTTGTCTAAACAAATAATGAGATTTTAACGTCACTCTTATAGCACACCCATTGCTCCACAACTGTGGAGCGCGTTTTTGAATCTTTGAATCCTTGATTCACAGTTCAGACTACGCGGTTAGGATCATCAGAACTACTGAGAGGTACAACTAACAAGAAATTATACTGTTAAACGTGAACATCTGCACCAATGACTTGGTGTCAGTATAACGTTTCTAACTGAAATTGTCCAAAAAAAAAAGCATTTGTCATGCAAAATGCGTGCTTCTAAATAGATAAAACGTCGCGTAATTAACATTTACATCGAAGCATATATCTTTTAAGATGTCAGGGATATTTTTACTAATAGTTTCAAATGACGAAGATTCTTACTTCTAAATAAAACTTATTATGAAATAAAATGAAGCATAAAGTTTTGATTATCAAAGTAAGAAAATAGTCTTGCAGATGTGTAATAACCAAGTTTATTTTTAACAATACTTACCGATAGCAAAAACACTAAGAAGGTCTCTGATTGTTTCGCTCCTTCCTGTTACCCCAACAGCGGAAGCACGGACGGAAAACCTGGCTCCTGTCTTTTCTCTTTGTTCTGAGATTAGTTTAAAAAGCCAAGCAATAGCACAAGGGGTAGCTCCTAGCTCTTGAATCGACGAACTTTCTCCAATCATGGTATAGGTTTTACCTATTTGGGAACTAGTTATGTTAGAGTATTTTATAATATTGCAGTGAATTATAGATGTAGCTTATATTCACAGCGTTAATACAAATATACATTGCAGGGTGAGTTTATATTTGTAATATAAGTGAACGGCATGAAATCCTGCAACATTACACTATACATTATGCATCTTGTCTTGAGAAATGCCATACAACTGTCGAGTTACAACATCCTTAAACCATTGTATGCTAGTGTGTTACATTCCAATAATATTAGCCAGGATGAGCTACATCCATAGAAGTCAGGGAACCTGTTAGGAAGGATACATCACAAAATTTCGTGAAGAAAATCCACCATATTATTTGCTACTGAACTTTCCAAGTGTGTAATGCAAGTGTCAACTTTCTTATTGTTCACGGGCCTTACGTCAGGGTTATTACAAGTACAAAATGTAGGTTGTATAAAAAAATCATCCTGTTAGTTAACAGTGTATGTTTTATAAATACAATTTAACTTAAAATGTAAAATTAGGTCACAGTACGTGTAATAATAACTCTTAGCACATAATCCGTTTCTGGTTACTCAGTCTGATGAGCTCTGATATTGAGTGAAATGATTCATCAGCTATAGCGTTCAATGCAGTTGAAATTCTACGCTTCTTGTCAAAAACGCGTGTTATACCAGTAACGAAGAATGTGATTCAAATTACCAGTCTTTATGTAACGTAATATCACACATATTATCTATTAAGGTATCATTGTTTGGCAGTTGACGTATCATATATTAAACTAGATTGTCATCATTTTAACGTGTATTAGTGGCTTGCTCAGACTTCACTATATTTCTATATGTATTCTAAGTCCGTAGTCAAACTTTGTGAACCGTTTCATATATGAATTCATAACTTGAATGTTAAAAATTTAATTTTTTTGAACTTGCGATAAAAAATTACATCTACTTACATAAAAACTCACATTTACTGAGTAAAATGTGTGAATCTCTCTTGATTTTTTTACTTAAAGAAAAAGTATAGTGGATTATGATATCTGTACCTAGCTTTGGGTTTCCATACACGAAGAGACAGCCGTCCATTCCGTTCACAACGGACTGAATAACATCAACCAGAGCCGTTGATATAATCTCAACCTTGACAAAAAAATACATAAATAAAGTTGACGACTCGTAAGGTAGGCTATACATTTAAGATCAGTTAGTTAATTCGGGCGTTTATAAATCCTAACTTTTCTTTGAAACTTTGATGAAATAAATGAGCTGTATGGATGGAAAATGTGTCCACATTTATTTCACAATTTCATTTTGAGTTGGAAATTATAATTATTCTGGATAACCTTCTCAGGAAATCAACCAAACACTTTGTAAACACTAGTTTTAGTGTTTAACACAAAAAAATTGACTTCAACAATTTTATTTGAATGATGAGCTAACAAGGAATTAATCAGATTATTGTTCACAAATACTAACTATATATCAAGATAAGATTTTGTTCATAATGACTGATGCTGTATAAAAATGATTGATAAATGCTCACGTTATATTAAAATAAAATTTTGTTCACAAAATTATTGTTTACAAGCACTAATATTATATTAGAACATGATTATTGATCACAACAACCGGCGCCGTAATAAACTTATTATTCGCAAATAATGAAGTGATTACACTTAATCTAATAATGAAATTCATTGTCATTTTAATATCGTCCCACAGCTGAAAGTGCGAACCGTGTTTGATAGCATTGCGTCTCTAATCCGAGAAAAAGACTCTAACCATTAAATCATGATCGAGGCTTTTCATAACCACTGACTGAAATTATATTAAAATCATCGTTCAAAAGCCTAACGTTATATTGGATATACATAGAAAGTTTAAACAAGTAGCTGCAGCATGACTGAGGTAGGCAGACTGTATTAAAATCATCGTTTAAAAGCCTAACGTTATATTGGATATATATAGAAAATTTAAACCAGTAGCTGCAGCATGACTGATGTAGGCAGATTGTATTAAAATCATCGTTTAAAAGCCTAACGTTATATTGGATATATATATAGAAAGTTTAAACCAGTAGCTGCAGCATGACTGAGGTAGGCAGATTGTATTAAAATCATCGTTTAAAAGCCTAACGTTATATTGGATATATATAGAAAGTTTAAACCAGTAGCTGCAGCATGACTGAGGTAGGCAGATTGTATTAAAATCATCGTTTAAAAGTCTAACGTTATATTGGATATATATATAGAAAGTTTAAACCAGTAGCTGCAGCATGACTGAGGTAGGCAGGTTGAACCTACCAAATTTCCTGACGTCATTTTAATAATACGCCTAATTTCTTCATTCATTACAGTTTAGTTACTTTTAACAAATAAATACTTCTGCTTAATATCAGCGTCGTTCTAAAGGTCATTTTTGTAATTAAAAAGACCAATTAATGAAATAGTGCAGAAGTAAAATACGTTATAAGAGAAAATACTGGGTAATACCGTTTAGAAACAAATATACGCTCAACAGAAACTCCTCTACATGTAATTTTGAAGATATGCTTAAAATCTTATACCTCAACCAAGAGATGATGAAGTTTACAGTTAGCTTCGAATGGATAGGATATTAATACCTAGTTGGAAGTGTGCACACAGAAAACCCCCGAACCTATCACCTGGCATCAGCATCAAAAGGTAAATGCTTGCATTTGGCATATTACGATCTAATAGTCTATCTTAGGATTAAATAAATGTCTTAAAAACACAGAAGATTTTTTAAAATGTAAAACGTGCATGCCTTTATAGTTTCTCTTATATACATTAGGGGGCTCTGTATTTGAGCTCTCAAACAAGCATGGCTTGCCCACAATCGCGATTTGTATTAATATTTCTTGCCAGTCAGACATAATAGAATGATTTTGTATTTTGTTTTAATGGCAAAGCTACTAAGGCTATCGTCCACCATTTTGAGCTACTGACTAGACGGAACGTAGCACCCCACTACTCACCATCTACTGTCACTCTTATAATACAACCACAGGTTAAATTGCGTGAAATATTTTGTAGTTTCGCACGGCTTCTAATCCGACTCACCAGTTGCGACATCCAAAGCTCTAACATGAAGCCAATTCGCGCGCCAATATAAAAGAAAAGCAAATGTAAAAAAATAAATAAATGATATTTTAATTAACAGTGCATGAGTATGGAAAGTTAATGACATTTTCAAGAATGTTTGATTCATAGCTTAAACCAAGTAGTTGACGTTATAAAGATACATGATTTACATGAAACGCCGAGTTTAGCTTCTAACTGCTTAAATCATTCGAGAGTCTTACAGCGGTTCACTGATAAACTTGAGGACTTATAATGCCAAATTCGAGGTTCGATTCCTGCAATGATTGCAACCCAGATAGTCCATTACGCATCTGTATGCTTAGCGACAACTAAAATCATTAGATATTTTTGTCTTAAAATCAATACGACAAAGGCTTTGGTTAACTCCTCCACCAACATCTTCCTTAGCTTTCAAGTTTTTATCATTACCTGCGGGGTGTCCGGAGGAAAAACAGCGTCAAAGGCGAACATCTTCGGTGCTGCCACCCCGACTCGCCTGTCTACAGGGCTTGTAGTCCCACACGTAGTTGGGTCATACAATGACACTTGTTTTTGCTTGACGTCGAGAAATAGAAACGACGCCAGCCTACTGCTTTCCGCGGATAAGGGACCAGAACTCACTCGAAGCATAACCTTCACCTAGAAAGATGAATTATTTGTAGAAAAAGTGCGTTTTTTAAAGTAAATATACTCGTAATACATTTTCTAATATTCACTTCATGTTGTCATATTATTCTAACCACTTCCTCATCAATAGACACGGTTCGTATATATTTTAATACTTCAACTCTACACCAGTCTTTAAGTTGTAAAGAGGATATTATACTAATAGATCAACTACACTACATCTGCCTTATCTAGTGCCGATCTAATACCAGGATTCATCAGGCTGGTTGGAATAAGACATATATAAAATTATAACAGATGTACAGAGGCCTCATCCTATTTTCATCACTATGAGAACCATAGAATTGGATGAAACGATATTTTTTTATAAACAGATTGCTCAATAACACCTGTTTTGGTGTAAACTTGGATGAATTGATCAACTTTAATTTTTTATCTATTTTATTTATGTCACTACACATCAGAATTAAGGTAAGGATTTTGTTACACTGTATTATTTATTTTCTAACACAGTATTGTTTATTAGTATCTTTAATTACTTTTACTTGAACTAACCTACAAGTTTTTCGGAATAGCTGGTGAACCAAATTAGACCAGCTAATTTCCTTCATCTGGGAGCAAGCCAAGCGATCACATATACAGGAAAATAGCTGGATACGTAGATAATCAATGAGTATAGATCTTTACAATACCCACACACAAATCATATACAGGAAAATAGCTGGGTACGTAGATAATCAATGAGTATAGATCTTTACAATACCCACACACACATCATATACAGGAAAATAGCTGGGTACGTAGATAATCAATGAGTATAGATCTTTACAATACCCACACACAAATCATGTAATAGGATTTATAATCCTGTATCGAAACAAAGTTTCCATTCCTCATCTCTATGTTTAATTAAACTAGTAATATTTTTCTTTACTTTTTGTATGGTTATACATGCTCGCACTCATTTTTCAATCTCAGAAATATCCTGTTATTGGATAAACATGTGAAAAATAAGTCGGTAGAATACATGGTAAAAATAAGTTATAGAATGTCATTATTACAGCAGGAGTTGGCTCCTTACAAACTAAAGGAAAAATAGAATGATTTTAAAGATTTTATTATATATTCATACATAATCTTGGCTTATAATACTCTTTGCTTTATACGTTTTATATTTTCAGTATTCTCCCGCTGAGTCAGCAGTAGGTTGAAGGACTTACAACGCTAAACTCCGGGTTCGATTCCCTGGGGTAAACAAATATAGATAGCCCATTGTATAGTTTTGCACTACGAAAACAACAACAACAGTATTTCCAGTAACTTTTCAGGTGTTTAACGTCAGTACTCATATTTGTATTTAGTAATTTATTTGGACTATCACCACATATTTTAATTTTTAATGCATAAGTTTCGGCTCAATTACCTAAGCCTACTACAGGTGCGAAACGTTTAGTAAACAACAGAATCTAACGGAACAATTCGAATCACAAGTTGCCTAGCAACAGCGAAAAACAAGAACGTGCCCAAGTTTCTAAATAACAATAAGCCTAAAGCCTAATAAACTAAAATAAAATATGGTTACAAGGTCAAGAAACATAGCAAGTCATATTATTATTATCGTTAATGCTAGAAAGATAAAATCAACAGTAAAAAAATATAAAAAGATCAACAACAGAAAATAAACAAATAAAATAAAATAAAAGTTTAGGTTACTTTTATAACATCATTACAGTCAATGTGTGGTTTGATTTCTTTAATGAAAGGTAATCAGCAACTATGAAGGGGGAATCCTTAATTTTGGTTAATGCCTGTAGAAGGACCACAATCATGGGCTTCTGTTGCAATGGCTTCTTTAATTTTTCTCTTTTTGGTATTGTACTCTGGTGGGACAGGGGTAAATCTTCGGAATTACAACTCTAAAATCAGCGGTTCGATTCCCCTTGGTGGGCACAGCAGATAGCCCGATGTGGCCTTGCTATAAGAAAAGACACACACACTTTTTGTTATTACAGTCCTTGGCAATTATTTTGATATTTTTTAGGTCAACATTGTAGTTTTCCTCTCTAGCGTGTAATGCAATGGCTGAAGTATCTACAAAAGCATGCGCGATGTCTCTTTGATATTCTTTCATCCTAATGTTAATAGGATGTTCTGTCTCTCCAATGTATTCTTTGTTTACAGCAATGAATACGTAGAGGCTAAACTTCTATAGCTTCAACAGACTTTTATTAATGATAACTATCCCAAACAATTGGTAAAAAATTACCGTCAAAAAACTCTTTAATGAGGAAAACCCCTTTAATCAGGAAAATAAACATGGGATGGTGATACTCTATTTTCCATGACTTGGAGAAAATGTAAAAAGAATAATGAATACCTTTAACATTCAAACTGTGTTCAAGAGCCTGACTAACCCACGTAATATCTTAACTAAGGTTAAGTCTCAAGATCCAATTTCCACGCAAGAAAAAAAAAACCGTTGTCTGCAAAGTATCATGTGAATGTAAAAAAGTATGATACTCAAGTGAAATACAACTGAATAAGTTATCCGATGTTTGTGGCGATGTGAAAAACATAACCATTTCAGATTATGTTAGTATGATGTTTGTGACGATGTGAAAAACATAACCATTTTAGATTATGTTAGAATGATGTTTGTGACGATGTGAAAAACATAACCATTTTAGATTATGTTAGTATGATGTTTGTGACGATGTGAAAAACATAACCATTTTAGATTATGTTAGTATGATAAGCTAACAATCTGCATCTTCGTCACATTCCATACAAGCCAGGATCGAACCCCATATTACGTCAAGTGATTATTCTACCCTCTGAGATAGTAAGACAATTTTTAACAATGAAAATTGCCTGGTTACCACACTATTCTAAGTCCCAAAGCTATTTATTCATGAGAACTTCATAAATACAGGAATGTCCATGACACAGCTGAAAAATCAGAATTAATTCATAGAACAATGAAAATAACTAAAATTTTACGATTCAAGAGTTTTCAAGGAGTAAAATCGTGATTTTGAGCATCCACTTAAAAGTTTCGTTTTCGTTGGTGCAAAATCCAGCTACGAAACGAGAACAAAGGTGAAAATTTAATACATCTTTTGTTAAAAAGGACTTTAATTTAACAATAAAGCTGTTCTTTTGGAATCGCACATTTTGTAGGTGTTTAGTAATATTCTCACTTTAACTGATTTTGCAGTCGTTCTGGTAAAATTATCACTGTAACTTATATTGAAGGTGTTTATATATAATAATATTTGACAAGATTCTCACTTTAATTGATCTTGTACACGTTTAGGTATAATTATGTCTAGTAACATTCTCCCTGAATTGATGTTGTACGCGTTTGGTTATTACTATGTCTGGTAACATTCTCCTTGAATTGATGTTGTACGCGTTTAGTTATTACTATGTCTGGTAACATTCTCACCTTAATCTTGTAGTCGTTCTTGTATAATAATATTGAGTAACATTCTCACTTTAATCGTGTAGTCGTTCTAGTATAATAATATTGAGTAACATTCTCACTTTAATCGTGTAGTCGTTCTAGTATAATAATATTGAGTAACATTCTCACCTTAATCTTGTAGTCGTTCTAGTATAATAATATTGAGTAACATTCTCACTTTAATCTTGTAGTCGTTCTAGTATAATAATATTGAGTAACATTCTCACCTTAATCTTGTAGTCGTTCTAGTATAATAATATTGAGTAACATTCTCACCTTAATCTTGTAGTCGTTCTAGTATAATAATATTGAGTAACATTCTCACTTTAATTGATCTTGAAGACATTTAGATACACGCTGGTTCAATTTAATTAAGCAAGGTTTAATAGTAGAAAGAAATGAACAGCCAAACATGGTCCGGAACTTCTTATAAAAGAAACATTATATATAACAACTCTTCTTCTTTCCCTAAATCACACACAGTCTTCACTGGATTTAAACCTATTTTAATTATTTCACTTGTGCCTCAGTTTTCATTTTCTCGTGTTATATTTGTATATTCGAAATGTTTATTTCTTATGTACATATATTTCTGTTGTAATTACAAATATTGTTTGTTTGTTTTGTACCTCTAGATTACTGATGGTGGAATTATGACGATTCCAAAACGTTTAATAAATGTTTCCTGTTATTACGTTCATGTTTTGTTTTGTCATTAAGAGTGTGGTGTTTATTCTGTCAATACCAACGTTATTCATTTCTTTATCACCCTACATTCATAAACATATGATGGTTACTCTGTATAACCCATATACCTCACTCATCTTGTGTTCGTAAATGTATTGTAACTTTGCTTGTACAGCTTTTGCCACTCGCTCACCTAAAAACTAGTATTAACAAGTGTATGATGGCTATTCTGGAAGGACTCGAGTTGCTCATCATGTGTGGTAGTTATTCTGGTGGAATTCGTGACACGCACTTCGCTATTTTTTCACATTTTTATGTGTGTATTGGTTATGTTTTTTATTATATTATGTAAATAAGTGTAAAGTGTTTATCATAGTAAAATATGTGTTACTATCACCTTTACTGTCTTAGTGGGGGCCTGGCATGGTCTGATGGTTAACGTGTTCGAGTCGAAGGATCGAAACCCTTTCAGTCGTGGGGCTCAAAATGTACAATTATTGGGAACGTTAAAAACTAGTCATTATAGTTTTGCTAGTTCTTTTTTTATTTTGAAATAAAGATTATCAAAGAGGCTAACATTCGCGGGCGAATGTAAAATGGCCAATTTTGACACCCGAAAAATCGAAAACTGTCTGAATCACCGCTTAAGACCTGCAAAAAGGTATTTTTTGTACAAAATCACATGTAATTTGGTTGACATACACATGAATAGTTCACGAAAACTCCAAACTGTATTTTCCTCACTGAAAAGTTTAGTAAAAGACAAAAAATTCCAAATTTGCTTATAACTCTGTTTAAGATTTGCAAAGAGTATCTTTGTACTGAATTCCATGTAAATTGGTCGAAATAAGGCTAAGTAATTGACCCAAACCCCTAAACTTATTGGTTTATTTAAATTTCTGACCCACGTAAAAAGACCAAAAATGGATATATCCAACATTTTTATATGTTTATGTAAGGGATCTTTAAAAAAGTTATTGTTACTAAACCCCTTCTAAATTGGCAGAAATACGGCTGAGTAATTGTTAAGAAACTCTAAAATTACGCTTTTTGTGGCATATTGACCCTCTATAATTAAGAAAATAAACGGGTCCACCATTTTTGTTTGTAAATGTGTGGGCCTGTAGAAAAGTATCTTTGTTCCAAATCCCACATAAATTGGTCAAAATATGGCCAAGTAATTGACCACAAACCCAAAAATTATGCTTTTTTGTGAGCTCTGGCTCATCTAAAAATGGACTCAAAATGGGCAAATCCAACTTTTTTACGTCAATGTATTGGGCGCATGAGATGCATAGGAGCCCAAAATATACATTTTGGGGTTGTTTGATCTTTAACCCCATAAAAGCCTTAAGAATGACTAAATCAAAAACATGAAAAAGGTGGCTGGGCGTATTGGACCAAGGTATAACCCTACCAACTTTCAAGTCAATCAGCCAAGAAATGAAAGAATGGCGGTCGATTGAAAAGGTTTTGGAAGAAGAAGAAGGCAAGAAAAGGAAGGAACAATAGAAAAACAGTGTGTCTCTTTACGGAGACATAAAAATTACACTGAGGAAGATATGAAAGCTAGGATAACAAAAAGATAGATAAAATGGCGTGAAGTATCTGGAGTCATATGCGATCGAAAGACGCCTATGAGCTTGAAAGAAATGGTGTATAAAACAATGGTTTGGCCAGTCATAATGTGTGAGAGTGAATGTTGGCCACTGCAAAAACAAAAAAAAACATGTGTAAATGTTACATACAACAGAGATGAAAATGCTGCTGTGGATATATGGAGTTAACAGAAAAAAACCTTCTAAACAACATGTACATCCGAGAAAACTCAGGTGTGAGAGCTATGAGAGAAAAGATACAAAGAAGCCGCCTCATATGGTATAGACACCTCATGCGAAGACCAAAGTACCATAGTCAGATCGATGGATATCGAGGGTAATATAAAGGACGACCAAAAAAAAAGGGATGGTCTGACAACATTAGAGTGGACATGGAACCGTTCGTTGTTGAAGAGGAAGATGGGTCGGAACAAATGGAAACAGAAGACCCATAAAGCGGACCCCACAATTAAATGGGATAAACGCTGGAAGGATAATGATTAAAATTCCATTTTGTATCCTGCTAAAAAATGTAAAATTAAGATATATTCTTAATGCATGTTTATCTAGCCCGTTACTTAATATTATTTTATTATTTTTATGCTGAACTTCAAGGAAAAAGTTGGATTCTGTTCTTACAGAATGCTAATAATATAGAGACAGTTTTTATACGTTAAAAATGTAGCGTAATTTACACTAATATTAAAACTGTGATATACTTTAAAATATACCGTCTTTTGACTTGACGCTTTTGATCGTAGGTTATGTAGTTTTGTTTGATACACGTGATGGCAAGTTTTACTTTTTTTGTAGTGTACCATTTCGCTACTAGGGGTGAAAGTTCTAAATTTTGCCGTTTGAATATCCTGAAAGCTAGACTTTCAGTTTTTCTTTTGACACTTTCGAAATTAGATTTTCCCATCTGTTTCTTTTGTATTTTTTGTGATAGGTTTTACGTTAGTTTTTCGTTTGATACTCTTGATGAACGAAAACCCTTATAATCTCCTTTAGACACTTTTGATAATGTTTTACAGTTTTTCGTTTAATAATACTCTTGATAATTCATTTTACTGTGTTTTGCTTCCTTGATGTTAACAAAAGTTTTTTTCTTTAACATTTGATGATGTGTTTTACAGTTTTTGATTGAAAACTCTTGATGGTAGGTTTTAACATTCCTCATTTGACAGTCTTTATGGTAGGTTACACTATTTTTTTTTGTTTAATGCTCTTTACGTAAGTATTTTGTTCGATTCGTTCTTGATGTTCTTGGTTGCAGATGTTAAAGGTTTTCGTTAAACACTTTTGATAGCAGTACTTTAGTTTTTGTTTGTTTGACACTCTTACATCTTTTTACATGACTCCCTTCATGGTATGTTTTGTAGTTTTCGTTTGAAGGGGCTTTTGAACAGGCGTTTACAGCCTGTTGTTTGATACTTTTTGTGGAAGTTTACAGCTTATCATGTGAAACTCTTATCTTAATGCACATGTTTTACAGTTTTTCGTTTGCCACTGTTGATGATAGGTTTGTACACTGGTTTTATCGAATAACTTTTTTTTTCTGAAAACCCAGTCTTTCATGATGACTGTGGCGTAGTATTTCGTTACATACATATCCGGCTTGAGTTATACAAGTGTAACAGAAATGCTTTTAGTTGTTTTTCGTTTTAATGCTATCCCACCAGTATATTTTAAGCCAGGACGCAGGCTAAATAATGTAGTCCGTCTGATAATATACTGTGTGTGAAACATGACAATACTAACGTTTCACATAGCTATGTCTAATAGTAGTTAATAAGTTAATAACAAGTATCATATTAACAAAGAAATGTAAGGCAAATCTAATCGGCAAGAAGCTGGATAAACTGGAGAAGCTGGATAAAGTATAGTTATAGAGGGAACTCGATTTTTTCTATAATGAATAACTGCGTTTTGAGTATCCATAAACGCCAAAAACGTTTGGGTTTTGGGTAGCCATAAATACCAAAGACAACTGAGTTTTGTGTAGCCACAAATGCCAACAACATCCCCTTTAGGGTAGATATGAAGACCAATGACGGCTACATTGTAGATAGCTATAAAAGTGAACGATATTTGAATTTTGAATATTTTACTTACAGATACAGTTGAATTTTTGATAAGTTAAACACCAAAGATGGTTGTGTTTTGGATAACCACATATGTGTCAAAGTCTTTATACTTTATACTTTATAC